ATCCGATCTGGATCGGGAGGGGGAGCGAGTGGGAGGGGCGAGTGTCTGACGGGGTGGTTAGGGTTTCGGGGTCTCACCGGTGGGGGGAATAAGGAGAGAGTGGGGGGGTCGGCCGGGGCCTGGTGGTGGCCCAGTGGGGCCTGTGGTCAGCTGGGCCGAAGCCCAGGGGGGTTTCTCTTCTTCTTTTTCTTTTTGGTTTTCTGTTTTTCTTTCCTTTTGTATTTTCTTTTATTATTTCTTTTCTGTTTAAATCATTTAATCCATTTAGCCATTTTATAAAAATATGTCTGTTGCACTATAATTACCTTTGTAATATTCGTCAACCACCGAACAATTTTATTTTAAATTTTTGAAAACTTTTATTGTTTTCATCAATTTTAATTTTGAATTTGAACGGTTTCGAATTATTGCGAGGATAGCAACAGTAATCGGGATGACGTGCCATGATTAGCGTGGGATTACTGTAGCAAGATTATCCGGGCGTTACAAAAATGACCCGGTTCACCACATCTATAACAGGGCAACTTTTTCTTTTTAATTGCCCATTTAGAGAGCTTTTCGCCCTCCGCTTTATCCGGCCCTTTATCAGACGTACCATACTTAGGCTTAACACCTCCTGTATTCACCGGAACATTCACTGCTGCGAGAGCCCGAACCGTGTCTAGTGCCACCGCGTGTAACGTGGGTGTGTCTCCCACCCCCTCAGCTGCATGCTCAAGCTCCTCCGAAGGCATCTCCGCAACCGGCAATGGTGGTGGTGGGTATTGACGAGGTGGTGGAGGTCGTCTCCCTCTCCCACCGCGACGATAACCACCTCGGAAGCGATCATTCGGTCCGACGGCACCTTCCACAAAATTACCAGGTGGCCCTTGAAAATGTCCAGTGTTATCAGGATTATACCGGTTGTAACCACGGCCACCACTGGAGGAAGATCCACGGTGCAGCCCCTCACCATAAGCATCATATCCGTCATCTTCCCACTGACTGTAGCGGTTGTAGTTCTGAGAATCTCTGCTGTAACCAGTGTATCCGTCATGCCCTTGCCCGCCACGACCCCTTCCTAGGGCCAGTGCCTTGGCTGCCGGTGGCTGCGCCATGTCATCCGGCTGGTGCTTGGAAGCGACGGTCCCTGACGCTCGGTAGGCTGGGTGCCTCGAGCAGTCCCGGCGCGAGGCAGTGTAGCGGATGCCACCGGTCCCGTTGCCGTCGGCCTGGGAGGGATTGAAGCACCCCGTCCTCCACCACCGCCCTGGGCAGGACGTCCTACCGCGCCTGCCGCCGTAGTCGTGTTGGCCTGGCCTGAAGCCGAGGCGCCGCGGCCCTCTTCTTGTCCGGTGTTTAAGTCTGCTCGATCATCGGTGAGGGGGATTTCTTAGAATCGCCTGGGTCTAGCTTCGAGTGCATGGGGGCATACTCTTCTTATTTTGTGTTCTTACATGTTCATCTAATCGAGTATTCCCCTCATGTATGTATCCGTAGGTGAAAAAACTTGCAAGCTTTATAATTCTGCTGCAGCTACTTTTGGCTTGCGCCGAGGCCTTGTAAATTGTGTGGACGCGTTACTTTGATACTTTCTGCCTTGGCTTAATAAAAATTTGGGGCGGGGGAAACCCCTTTCATTTCAAAAAAATAAAAATAAATTAGCCAACCGTTCATTTTTTGGCGATAAACCGTAGTCAGCAGTTGGAGCCTTAAGATGAGGAGCTAAACCTGAAGTTAGGTAAGCTAGAGCGAAATCTGGCATCCATGATCCATGAGCATGATAAGTAGTACTCCCTTGGTCCGGGAAATACTACACTCCCTCCGTCCGAAAAAACCTGCCCGTCCGGAAATATTAATCATCAAAATAGATAAAGGGAATGTAGTATTTCGGGACAGCTGTTGAAAAGCAACCTGGGTACACTACTACACCAGATGTTGCATGCGCCGCTAGAAAGCAACCTGCCCATACCTCCTACACTTGCGTGATGCGGCTACCGATCAATCATCTACGGGCGCCGCACGATTGTGCAGCCGAAAATACATGCCAACGGGAGCCGTTGAGAATGAGACCGCACCATGATGCCGGGGCCGCAGCAAAGCAGTACGTATCTGCGTCTCGCGGCCCAACACGGTAGCCCAAGGCGATAGCATTATCATGACGGGCACGGAGCCGCCCGCCACCGCCCTCCCCTCCCCACTCGTGACAGCAGCAGCTGGCCACGAGTCCCATCCCGTATCTTGCCGCCCCTATAATTCACCCACGGACGGACGGACGGACGGACGGACCACATCGACTTGCAGCAAGTTGCGACGCGCCAACAGAGTCAGAGAGGAGAGTTTGAGTTCCGGTGTTCCACTTGACGTCTTCACCTCACCACGTACGCGCGCGCGCATGGCCGCGACGGCATGCGCCTACGGCTACGACGGCGGCCTGGTGCCGCCGGCGCCGGCGCAGGCGATGGGCCCGTTCGACGACGGCGGCCACCACCGTCCCGTCATCCACGACCACTATCCCATCATCCACGGCCTCGTCATGCCTCCACCTCCTCCTCCGCCGCCGCCGCCGCCTCCTTCTTTCCATCTCCATTCGGGCCACGCCAGCTCCAAGGCGGCAGCGTCTCGCCACCCCGGCCTCTGCACCGAGGGCCTCGGCTCGGAGAGCTCCGAGAGCTCGGGCGACCTCGACCTCGGCGACATCGTGGCCGACGACGACATTCAAGACTGCAAGCAGGGCGACCAGGAGCTAGGGGCGCTGATGCCGGCGAGGAAAAGGGTGTTCCCGCCGCCGATATCGGTGATCGGCGCGGCCGGGAAGCCGTGGCAGTACCTGAGGGCGCAGCGCGGGGGCGGCCGGCTGGTGCTGCGGGAGGTGAGGATACCGTCGCGGGAGCTGCTCCACGCCTGCCGGGAGGACGGCCGCCTCAAGCTCCACTTTGCACACCCGGAGCCGGAGCCGGAGCCGGAGCCAGAGGAAGAAAACAACACCATCTAGCTGATGGTGATCAGGAGGAGGAATGCAACAAACCAGCAGACTGCAATATGACAGTCAAAAGAGAAGAGCCAACAGAACATAACAGGGTTTTGGTTTTCTCGGTTTAATAAGTATGAGTTATTATATCGTCAAAGAGTTCTAAGAGTGCCATGGCCATGGCAGTGTCCTTCCAAAGAGATGTAAATATTGCAACAAAATTGGTCAGTCTTTGCATCCATCGTCGATCTACTGCTACTTCCTCCTCTGTCTTCTGTCTGTCGAAAGAAGCAGATGCACGGGTCAAGGATTCAGGTACAAGAATCAACAAAAGAAAGACGCGTTTGTCCTCGACATAGTCGCAATGATGCTCCACAGCTAAGGATGAGCGTGTATACAGTACAGGCTGCAAAGCACTCTAGGCTCACAAGAACCCTGCCTGCCTGGACTTGGTTTGATGAAAAAGGAATACTACAACACATGTGACAGTTGGTTGACAGGTTTACATTACAGCCAAAGCAAAGGGTATCTTGGGGGTCAAAGATGCTGATTCTGCCAATTATCATCCACCTCTTCATTTTAAGCAAGTGATTAAAAACACTAACTGTAGGAGTATAGTAAAAAATGTTTCAACAACTGTGAAGCAGTGATGCATTATTATCCTTCATGTTTCGAACATTTTGTTTCTGGTCACATGGTTACATTGCAGCATTTTGTTGATGCTATATTGGTGGAAAGCCACCAAGCTGCAAACACAGAGATACCTCAACATTTGGTGCGGCACATGTATTATTCCTGGACCCTCTGTTTTCCCGGTATTTTGGAGCTCATGTCCTTCTCATACAAGTGGGACCCAGGATGATGATGTCTTGCCATCCAACGTCAACAGCACTTTTGTATAGATCAGGACGCATGTCCCTGAATATACCCCAACAGCACGCTGTATAGATCAGGAATTGACCTCGTCCAAGTCGAACTCTGCTGCAAGCACCTCCTCGTCTTCGTCATTTGCAAGCTTGATGATCTCTTCAGTTGGCCCTGCATATGCACAGACATATCAATCATGCTTCTATTGTTGCACCTTCCTCTTTAATTTAAGAGTACACACTCAAGCTGGATTACCTGCGATGAACGAATTCCCATAGAACTTTATAGTGCCTTTGCCATGCTCAGTCTCTCAACAGTTTCCCTTCCTATCCGGTGAGAAGCAACAAGGGAAACCTGTTGGGCATACTTAAAGGTGACTCACTAAACTGTTGAGCCAACTGGTAGAACCTTTTAGAAATAGAATAAATATTACAGAAATACAACGAAACAAATAACAGTACCAAGTTAGCGCCAGTGTTCACGGGAATCCAGGTTCATATCCTGGGGTTCAGAGCCAATAGCAGTGGGATAGGACAATATCTCTGCCCCCTGCTTGCAGTCTCTGGAAACCAAATTACTACCAAGGCATGGATGACAAGGTCGGTCTTTGGCTCTTAGCTCCTTTCTTCATGAAACCACAACACCGCATTCATCCTACACTGCTGCAGAAGTAGAACAAACAATAAGCTCCAGGTATTCACAAATCATTGAATCAAGTACACACAAGGAAGCACAAAAGAGTGTAGATAACAGAAGAGAGCAAACGCACCTCAGTTGAGACCTGAGAGTCAGCAGGAGGGCATTAACCTCTTTAAAAACGTCTGGTTCATCCTGCCAGACTCAGTTTCTGCTGCTGGAATGTCCTTATGTGGAATAGAGGAAATCAAGTGGAAATACTCCCCACCTTGTCTGCAATGTCTTTGCAAGTTGGGGCAACCAACTATCTTCAAGGACTTGAGTGCTGGGAGCCGTTGGAGGAGGTCCTGCGGGAATTTTTCTATCCCTGTACACCTCTCGATTGTCAGCTGCTCAAGAGAGGTGAGGCCATCTGGCAAAGTTTTCAAGCCACTGCAGCCCTGAATCCGGAGCACCCTCAGCTTGGATAGATTTGAAGGCAGCGCGATCAAACACGTGCATTCTCCTATCACTAATTCATCAAGGGATGCAGCCACCTCGGGAATATACCGTAAGCTGCTACAGTTGTGAATGCTTAACATCTCCAGCTGGGGCGGCGGAAGGATTTCATCAGACGGCGAGCCCTTCCCCTTGAGCTTAACACAGAAGCTAATGCGCAGAAAACGGAGACGAGCCAGGTTCCGGAGCTCCTCCGTCGGCCAGTGGACAAGTTCGTCGCACCCAGAAATGCACAATTCTTCAACAAAGGCAAAGCACTCCCAGAGCCTCAGCAGGTGCGATTTTGACAAAGTGGATGTCGTTTCAAAGCAATTGGGACCGGATAGCCACATACTCCGAAGGGTTTCCAAGGGCCTATGGCTTTGCTGGTCCCCTGGAGGCAGCATCATATCACCCAGTGAGCTAACACTTAATTTCACGAGGGATAGCCAAGAGCCCAAAGGCATGCTTGCAGAACGAATTAATTCTCCACCAAACTCAAGCTCAGAGAGCGTTGTCAGATGAGCGATTGAGCTGATTGGAAGGCTGTAACATTCCATTATCCGCAGCTTCTCTATAACTGGGCTGCTCGGAACACTTGCAACCTTCGGACAGGCATACATACTTAGCTCTTCAAGCAGAGGAAACATCACCAAGCTATGAGGAGGTTCCCCTGCAGTACTGTTTTCTGTCCATCTCTCCAACTCTGGTAAGTTTTCTAAGAACATTCTTTTTAGCTTTGGGAAGATCTGACGAGATGCATTGCATCCTTCAACCTCCACATCAGTCTCCTTGCATATCATGGTCAGGCTATCCATGTAACCTAAGGACAAATACTCGAGGGAGACCAACAGCGGTGCGGATGGGAGATGTTTGCATTTTGGGCAGTTGAAGATTATGAGTTTTCTTAGGCACTGGCACATCTGAGAGTGCATCATCCATGATGAGAATTTAGTGCCACCATAACCATGTATCTCCAATACTTTGATCTCACTATGAGGTGCAAGAGCCTCCAATACTTGTTCCATGTTACCAACATCATCTTGAGGCCCGTGATATTTTCGACGACCCCAGCATAGCGACAGTTCAGTTAGATTTTTTTTCTGATAGAGTTTGGCTTCTTTTGCATCCACCACACTCTCTATTTTTATCAAATTGTATAGTTCCAACCGGTGGCTAAGGTATTTTAGATCTTTGAGTTGATCAATTCCACAACCATCTCCAGTGCCCACAACAAACGATGTTAGGGTGTGCAGGTTGCTTAGTTGACTAATCTTTGGGGGCATCCGCTCCAGTTTATCACACTCAAAAAGATAGAGATGGTGAAGTTTTTTCATGCTTCTGATGCCTTCAGGTAAATATCGGAGCTTGTGGCAATGATTGATCCTCAGCGACTGTAAGTTGTACAACATGCATACCGAATCTGGCAATGTAACAATTTCAGAGTGAGACAGGTCAAGATATCGCAAATGCTTTGTCTTTATGGGTTGACGGATATGAAGGCCACGACAACATAATGCTCTTAACGACGTCAGCCTTAACTTGCTGAGATCCTTATGTGATGATGACGGTGCTAACAGAGTTCGGAGAGATTCCTTATTTTTCAGTAATCCGTTGCTTTGTTCCAATTCATCCGATGATATTTTCATGTGAAAGACATCTTCTACATATGCTTTCTTCTGAATCAACTCTTGCATAGTTGCGCATTCACCCGTAACATGTTTTGCTAGGTCATGCATTAAATCATGCATCCCACATCCAACCAAACCATGCCTTGAAGCTGGGCCATCAAATGGTTTCACTTCCACATCCTGAAGGAAGGATCTCCAAACCAACTCGTTGAAAACAAATTCGCCTTTCTGCTCCAAATCCATCATTCCCTCTTCTTGAATAAACCCATTGGCCATCCATAGTTGGATCAACATGCTTTTTTCCATCTCACTGTTCTTGGAGAAGACGGCGCAGAAGGCAAAGCATTGCTTCATTTCAGAGGATAAGTGTTGGTAGCTCAATTTGAGTATGGATATGATTTCTTGTTTGCCTGCAACACTATCCCCAATATTGCTTTCTGCAATGGCCTCCCATTCCCAGGCCCGTCCTTTTGAACACATCAAACCCCCCATTGCACTCAGAGCAAGAGGGTGCCCCTTGCATTTGCTGACGATACGCTTGCCGATCGACATCAACTCTGCCTGCTCTCGCACATTTCCCTTAAATGCTTTCTTTGAGAACAATTCCCATGAGTGTTGTTCACTCAGATGTGCCAGCTCATGGGTTTGAAGCGTGCCCATTATAGACGCTGCTCGTGGGCTCCGAGTCGTGACGATTATAACGCTTCCGGAACCGCCGACGGAACACAACGCTGATTTCAGGCTATCCTCCCACTTTCGCTGTTCTTCATTCCAGACATCGTCAAGAACAAGCAGAAACCTTTTCCAGCCAATGACCTCCTGAAGCCTCCCTCGCAGCAGCTCGACTGTGTCTGGAATGTCGCATCTCCCTCTCGTAGCCAACTCGATGATGGACTTCACAAGGGCGGCGGTCTCGAAGCTGTCCGACGCACAGTGCCACATGAGTAACTGAAAATGTTGCTGGACCTTGGGGTCGTTGTACACCATCTTGGCAAGCGTGGTCTTGCCCAGACCACCCATCCCAAAGACGGGCAGGACCTGCACTTTCTGATGATCTTGCTGGCCGAGCAACAGGTTCACCACCGCCTCCTTGTCGAGATCTCTGCCGAAGATCTGCGCAGGGTCGTCGATCGCCGAGTGCGTCTGCCGGCAAAGAACAGCATGCGGCGCCTCGGCATGGTTCTCCAGGCCGAAACTGTTCATCTCCGCGACAAGCAGATCGATCTTTTTGAGGACACTGTTCAGCCTCCAGCTCATTGCGAGACGGAACAGAAGCGGGTTGTGCGGCAGCGTGAAATAGCCGAGCACCTTGCGGGCGGCCGACTCGCCGATCCGGGCTTCGCGGCGCAGCGCCTCGTGGTGGAAGTCGTCGAGGACGTCGTCGGCCTGGTAGGCGGCGGTCCGCAGGTCCTTGATCCACCGCCGGACGGCCGGGTTGACCCCGCTCTTGAGCTCCGCGTCGGCCAGCTTGCACTGGACGGCCAGCAGCTGGCGCTCCAGCTTGCGGCGGTCGGCGTCGACGCCCCACATGCCGGCCACGCCCTGGACGAGCGCGTCGGCCGCCTTGCCGGCCGTGATGCGTACCGCCGGCAGAAGCAGAGCTTCCGCCATGCTAGCTACTACTCCCTCCGTTGGAATTACTTGTCTCAGAAATGGATGTACCTACTACGCTCGGGTCTTGCTAGCAGCAGCTACTGATTACTGAAGCGCCGCCCGGCAGTAGCAATCATTCTAGGAGATTTTGTGAGGCCCCGAGACCGAGAGGCAACTCAGAGATGAGATGAAGCAGTGAGGTGGGGAGGAGGGGAATTGGGGATGAGATTTCGTTCAGAGAATAAAGTGGCATAAATAAAGTTGGCAAAAACTAGAGTGGCAAAAACAAAAATTTCCCTTCAGAGAAAGTGTGCAAGTGGAACACACTGCCCGTGGGCCCGTCGTACGTCGGTCGACTGCGTCCCGTTCATCGTCAGGCGAGGCATTGTCGCCGTTCGTCATATCTCCACCAACCAACCCCACCTATATAAGGGCATGTACAATGCATAGCCTCAAGGTGATGCCTCATATGCCATGTAGGATCGGATATGACGTAAAGCAGGTTCGGATAGGGAAGTGGGATCCTCTTCAGGAGGCAGGTGCTTGAAAAAGAAAATTATGGTCCGGTGACAAAAGCTAAAAAAGTTGGAGTGAAAAGTAGAAATGCATATGTATTAGAGTCTTTATTTTCTATTTTTTAATGAGGCCCATTAATGATAGTTTGCATTGGAGAGAAAAAATTAATGTAGATGCCTCAAATTACTTTTTATCATGGAACATATGTATCCATATGCCACCATTGTACATCCCTAAATGGCCCCTTTTACGACTTACTTAAGTGCATCTATAGCCCCGCGAAAAACTTATTTGCTCGTCTAGCCCCTTGTAGAACGAAAATGATACGCTTACAGAAACAATCTACGGAAACCAAACGTCTTGCCGTCAGCTATACCTGGCCATCTCTCGGGCCGGACCAACCAAAGCCCGACGCAAAAAAACCAGGCCCGAGCCCAGCCTGGCCCGACTGTCAGGCCTAAAAACCGGGCCCGAGCTCAGCCCATCATGCTAAAAGGGCCTCGGGCCACGAGCCGGGCCTTTTCCTTAAACGGCAAAAATGACGGGCCCGGCCCGGCCATCGGGCTCAAAACCTAGGCCCGAGCCCGGCCCATGGACAAGGCCGGGTCGGGCCGACCAGGCCGGGCTGCCCATGGCCAGGACTATCGTCAGACAATGCTCAAGTTCAACGGTCATCGCTCCGCCACCTGCCCCACCACCACCTCCTCCTCTGCCACCGCCACCTTGGCCTCTGCATCGAGGGCCTCGGCTTGGAGAGCTCAGGTGACCTCGACGCCTGGTCGACGACATTGAAGACTGCACAAGGGAGCAACAACAACATTTTTTTTTTGAAACAAAGGCAAAAGCTTTGCCTCATCGATTAACTAAGAAGAGAATTGCCCAGTTAATTAACGGAAAACCGAGCAGCACTCTGACGACCAGGAGAAGACACCGATACCGGCAAGGAAAAGGGTGTTCCCGCCGCCCATATCAGTGATCGGCGCAGCGCGGGGGCGGCTGGCTGGTGCTGCGGGAGGCGAGGATACCATCGCGGGAGCTGCTCCACTTTGCCCACCCGGAGCCCGAGGAACAACATCATCTTGCCGATGAGCAGGAATGCAACAACTAGCAGAGCAGATTGCAATATAACAGTCAAAAGAGAAGAACCAACACAACCGAAGAGGGTCTTGGTTTAATATAAGTTTTGAGTTATTATCGTCAAAGATGCTGATTCTGCAAATTATGATCCACCTATTGATTTCAGTAACTAAAATCAATAACTGCAGGAGTATCACCAAAATGTTCCAACAAATGCTATGCATCATTATTATATTGCTTTGATCCCTCATGTCCATAACTGTAGGAACAAATATTCTCTTACATGACAGTATTTTATTAATGCTCTATTGGCGGAAAATCACCAAGTTGCAAACACAGGGATACCTTTTTTTTTGCGGGGGAAACACAGGGATACCTTGCACAGAGGCAAATCATTCTTTTTGCAGGGAGAAGCTAGACTTACAAACGATCTACCATTTGGTTCGTGGACCCCGTGTTTTCCCAAGATAGAGCATTGTGGAGCTCATGTCCTCTTCATAAAAGTGGAACCTAGGATGATGATGTCTTGCCATCCAACGTCAGTAGCACTTTGTATAGATCAGGACGCCTGTCCCTGAATATACCCCAGCCGTGCCTCGTAGATTTGATCTCGTCCAAGTCAAACTCCGCGACGAGCACCTCCTCGTCTTTGTCATTTGCAAGCTTCACGATTTCTCCAGTTGGCCCTGCACACACACAGAGTTGTCGTATGAAATGATCATATCAATCATGCTTTTATTGACGCGCCTTCCTCTGTAATTTTAAAATACAGACAGAAGCTGGATTACCTGCGATGAATGAGTTCCCATAGAACTTTATGGTGCTGTTGCCATGCTCAGTCTCAACAGTTTCCTTACCTATCCGGTTAGAAGCAACAAGAGGAACCTGTTGGGCACATTAAGGTGAATCACGAAACCGTGAGAACTCTTGAACCAACTGGTAGAAACATTTAGAAATAGAAGAGATGTCTTCTAGACTCGTGAAAGAAGATACGGGTCCATTTAAGGACATTAAACAGAACAGCTAACAGTACCAAGTTAGCGCCGGCGTGGCCTTGCATGACACGCTTCCAGTGTTCACGGGAATCCAGGTTCATATCCTGGGGTTCAGAACCAATAGCAGTGGGATAGAACAATATTTCCGCCCCCTGTAGCACCATAGCCCTTGCGGTCTCTGGAAACCACTGATCCCAGCAAATTCCTACCAAGGCATGGATGACAGGGTCAGTAATGATAAGCAAAGCTGCAAATTTGCTAATTGGTCACGCTGATCATTAACAGAGCTACTGTGACAAAATTAAATAAATAAATGGTATCAGTGCAAATAAAAATAACTTACCAACACCAATTGTTGCATACTTGGTTTTGAAAGCCTGCATCAACAAAAGGTGGTCTTACTAAGAAAGTTCCTAACAATAACAATGATAGCTACAGCTACAATATGTAGATCTTGTTTAACCAAAACTGGTATCTTATACAGATACTGAATAATGTTTACCTTGAATCCAGTGTCACCCGGGTTGAAATAAAATTTCTCTTGATAACCTGACAAAAGAAAGCGCTTATCTAGATAAGATAGTGCACTTAGGATTTATACTGTATTAGGTGAACACTACTGTAAAGTCATACCTGGTCCATCTGGAATGTGTGATTTGCGGTATAGGCCAAGATCGGTGCCATCAGCATCAATAATGGCCACGGAATTGTAATGAGCATTGCCCGCTTCTTCAAAGAAACTTACAGGTATTACAACATCCAACTCCTTTGCAAGTTTTTGCATTCTATGGACAATGAAAAACGAAGTGAATGTATAAATATTACAGACACTTGACTGAAAATATCACTAGCCAGCAGTCCACATGCTTCAAGCACAACAAGCTACCCTACCTCATTATAGTCGGGTTCTCTTTATAAGGCTTGGCACGCCCAAAGAAATCCATCCTTTGAGCTTGACAGAAATAGTGCCCCTCAAATAGCTCCTACAGAATTTAACAAATGTAAGTGGAAAATTAAATATGTCTTATTGTACTCGTTTTACTGTGAAACTAAAGGAAGAATATACATCTGAATTCATATGTCTGCCATGCATGTCTTGAAAGAAATATTGCAAGCGTAAATTTTGTCACTCGTCAATGAACGTCACATTTATTTACCATATATATGGGTTTACCTGAATGAGGACAATGTTTGCGCCTTTCTTATGAGCTTCTCTAATCAACCTGAAATACAAATGATCGGAAATTCAGGCTTAGGTTCTTTTGTATTCCCAGTGACAGATACGAGTGACAACAACTAAAAGACCATAGGAAACAGCTTCCTTTCTTGTCACTATGAATAATAGTTGGGGACCACAAAACTCTTGATTTCTAGCAGTATCACAAGTCAGAAGCACATTCCAGATATTGCATGTACATGTAACTATGGAAAAATGTCATTTTTATTCTTGTCACATAATAAATGAAAAAGCATATAGCAGCTTCATAAAGTGGCCCTACACATATAAAAAAGATGACTAGACACAATTATCCTCTTCACTAGCAAATAGTCCTTAGAAAAGGTGACCTACGAACCATGGACTCTGTTCTGCACTGTTACTTTTCATGCAAAGATCCTTGCTAGCAAAGAGAAACAGTGGCAAGAGAACTAATCCTCACACTAATGGTGAATACTTATCAAAATCATCACTACAGAGCTAGAACAAAATATCCCCAAAGTCAATTATCAAAATAATGAACACAAGTAAAACAAAAATTCCCATATTCAGATATCAAGACCACTGATATGGAGCTTGAACAGAATTTACTAAAATAAAGTGCTATACAGCAGCTTTAGAATCCAGTGAAATATGAAGATAAAAGCTGCACCTTGAAATGTAGACAAAAATAGCACAGTAACTTTAAGAATCTATGGTCCACGGAGGAATCACAGCATGGCTACAGTTTTCCATCAGGATGTACAACAATAAGAACTGTAGGCTGATTTAGACATTATTAGGCCAATCAGGGTTAAAACAAATAAAACACGGAGAGCACTGAGTTTTTCTCTTTGGCATGACAAGGTCGTTGTGGAAAAGTGAAGTCCTCACTCCTAGTTGACTCATTTGGTTTGTCTATCCAAACTATATAGATGAAAATGGTTTAAAATACATGTTTTGAAACGGCGAAAGAACAATAACTGCTGATTTGGGCGAGGAGCCAAGTCCACACCAACTGGATGTCATCTGTGGTGATTAGTGTACAAAGCCACTAAATAGACTACCTGGTGCAAATGGATAGTGCTCTCTCACTCTATCATGGCATACGCAAGATCCCATAAGTAATAGAAAGCTTATGCTCACAAGATGGTACAAATCGAGAAGATATGTAGCACCTCATATTCCCGATCATAACAGACTATTAATACAGCAGGAGCATCTGATTGGCATTGATTTTTTTAAAATCTTCACTATATTGGATTATACTCCTATCAGGTGATATTCTATTTATGACATCAGTTATTTGAAACATCAAAAAAAAGGTTTATTCTCATGGTCAGGTCAGATCAAGAAAGTGGAAGGCATAAAGTGTGGCAACAGCTTGTGGAATATGAGAAACACTAATAATTTGCGGTTAGAACAGGCTATTAATAAAGGAGGAACAACTGATTGCCATTGGTTGGTTTTCTTGATTTTCATTAGGTGGAATTTGTATAAGGTGATATTCTGTTTATGACATCAGTTATTCGAAACGGCAAAAAGAAGCATATTCTCATTGTATACCCTAGTCAGACAGAGGCGCACAATCAGTAGATAAAGGCACTTGTTGAGATCAGATCAAGTGGAAGGTATAAAGTGTGGCAACATTTTTGTGGAATATGAGAAACACTAATAATTGGTATAAAAGGTCATTAGGTCAAGTAAAAAGCAAGTTGTGGTCAGGAGCTTGCAGTTATTCCCTTGAAAAGTAATTCAGATCTAGTGTGCAATTACAAAGTGTGTAATTGAGATCCAAGAGATTATGCAGCTTCAATGCCTAATTTAGAAGCACGAGCACATGGAAATGAAATTAACGCAAGCGCAGCCCAAAACCGAACAACACAGCTAGGCGATGGTAAAATCCAAGCCTGACGCAAGGAACTGAACTAGTACTTTCATCTGAGGCATAGTTAGCAAAATCAAAATCCAATCACCGCGAATCCAACAAACCACAATACTCCTCTCTGCGGCGGTCAGATAAAAGTAGTTGGAGCTTTGGTTCCTTGGGTAGGTTGCTAGTAGTTGTACAGAGTACAGATAGGGGATGGGACACCGGGAGCTGGGCGAATCCATACCTCTCGGCGGCGGCGACGTTGTCGGCCACCGTGTCGGTGCAGGCGAACTGCACGGCGGCGACCGCCACCTTCCTCCCGGCGCCGGCCATCTCCCCCCTCACCTACCCCTTCCTCGGCCCGCGCTGTTCCGCTTTGGCTGCTGCTGCCTGCTGCTTTCCTCTGACGGCGAAGAGATGTCGAAGATTTTAAGCGCTGAAGAAAAAGGTAGCCGCCACGGGGCCCACATGGCATGGAGGAATCCAAATTGACGGAGAGAGGGGGTCGAGGTTACCGGCGGAGAACGGTGCGGCGGCCGGCGGGAGATGGGGTTCCTGGCGAGCGGGCGAGCGAGCGACTGCCGCCGGCGGCGGGGAGGACGAGCTCTAGGCGGCGCGAGGCAGTGGGGAAGCAAGCTGTCCCGGCGGCGGTGCAGTGACGTGGCGGCAGTGTGGACATGGGGAGGAGGGGAAAGGAAGGCGCCCTTTGGGGAAACCGCTTTCCTTCGCTTTATACGGTAAGTTACGAGCTGCTTTTCCTTGGACCAGTTGAGTTCGGGCCAACTTTCAACGCCAGACAAAGTAGCCAAACAATCTTTACCGGTCCAAAGGAACCACATATGTGCTACACGTGTCTATCTGGCCTCCCATGTACTCCCTCCGTCCGGAAATACTTGTCGGAGAAATGAATATATCTAGAAATGAATGTACTATATGATGGGGTTGTATATTTTGCTACAAGATGTACATAGCTCCTTTGACGAGGATATTCTACGATTCTTCAGACGGACGGACGGTTGATGTGGGTCAAAAGTGTTTCCTTTCGACGGACGGTCAACAGGGAGCCTCCCTGTTCTGTCTCCGCCACGAACATGGTCTCGCCGGCCAACATCTCCGCCATGATGCACCCAAGCGCCCACATGTCCACCGCCTGGCCATAGTACTGGTTGCCTTCCAGCTATTCCGGCGAGGTGTAAATCAGGGGCACTCCTCATATGGTTTCGCCTGCATCGCCGACCCAAAGTCACCAACCCTAAGCCCGTCGAAGAAGCCGACCAGGACGTTCTCCGGCTTAAAGTCCCGATGGATGACGCCGGCTCCATCTATCTTCTTTGCCACCTCCATGATCTGCTCCATCATCACTCATATCACTTCCTCGGATATAGGCCTCCAGAGCGATTCGCAGAGGGCGGCCGTCGGGGACGAGCTCCATTACGAGGAACACGTCCCCTGTCTCGGCGTCCGTTGCCACATCCAAGATCTCGACAATCTCCAAATTGGCGCGCGATTCACAGATACTGCGTATGCGTCACATTTACGCGAATGACGCTTGCTTCATCACGGGTTTTTCTTTCCGATCGATTCGTCCATTCATCTTTTTTTTCTTCAAATTTCTTTCGCGTTTTCTCTCTGTTTTCCCTTCTACATTCATCATTTAAAAAAATCAAACACCTCTTTAAAAAATCAAGAATTAATTTAATAGTGTGAAAACATCTTAAAATTACATGAATGTTTATATAATATACATGAACACAAATTTCCCACCAAATGAAGTTTTTTTTAAATATGTGAACACTTCCTTTTCCCTTTTCTATATGAAAATATATGAACTCTATCTAAATGAGTGAACACCTTTTATAACACATGCATATTTTTTTTGAGATAGTCACCATCCATGCTGAATGGTAACACATGCATATTTATTACAAAAGCATGAACACTTTTTAAAATTACATAAATATTTTTAAAATATGTGGACACTTATACAAATTTTTTTAAATATATGATGAATAAACTTTAATACATGATAACTTTTTTTAAAATTACACTATGAGCATTTTTTAAATACGTGATGAATATTTGTGAATGCACGTGTGAACATTCTTAACACACGATAAAACATTTTCCTGAAATACACGCCGAACATTTTCTTAGTACATGATGACCATTTTCTAGTAAGTTGAAGAATTTTTAATATGTTGTTAAAAAGATATTTTACAAATTTATAGTTTGTCGAGCATTTTTAAAATATCTCTACTATTAAAGGGGAGTCCATAGTTATTTTGTTCGTTTCATTTGTTCCGCATGCATCCACTAATGTCCAAAAATCGTCCCAATTATTTCAGGAAAATTGTGAGTGTATTAGCACACATATGAATACATGATAATAGTTATATATTTGAATAAGATGATAGTTTCCATTAAAAAAAGAAATAAGATGATGGTGTTCCTTTCAAGATGTAGTCGTATATAACGACTTCCCTTACCGAGCTCGTGAACTTGAACATGTCGTCGAACAGATTGAGCGGACAAATCCCAGACATGATCGGGGCCATGCGGTCGCTGGAATCTCTCGACCTCTCTGAGAACGAGCTCTCTGGTGAGATCCCATGGAGCTTGTCGAGCCTGACGTATATATCTGTCCGCCCTTAACCTGTCCTACAACAACTTGTCCGGAAGGATACCTTCCGGCCCGCGACTTGACACCCTCGTCTCGGACAGCATATACGTCGGCAACGGCGGGCTTTGTGGGCCTCCTCTCAGCAGAAGTTGTCCAGGAAATGGTGATTCTTCCGTCATCCATGGCGACGTCGGAAGCAGCAAGCAAGCAAGAGCTTGTTCCACTGGCCTTTTGTTTCGCCCTTGTGCTGGGACTTGTGGCGGGGCTCTGACATGTGCGCGGGCCGTCCTTGGAGAATGCCGTCATGTGATGATCCGCCGGTGACATCATATATAGAAGGAGCAAAGTATATATTGTATCAGTTTTGCTAAAGCACAGCTAGATGTGCCATAAGTATTGCACATCTAAGTTCTATGTCATTGATCTTACGTCGAGATTCGTGTGGATATTTTCTTTTTTCTTTTTTCTTTTCTCTTTATGCTTGATTCACTCACTTAGATATGCAATAACTAAAGCACATCTAGATGTGTCCTAGACACACCCATATTGTATTGTAAGACGTGTGGGTCGATGTAATACGTGCTGATTCAGCAGGTAGGGCTGCAGGTACTTCTCCCCCGATCCACCACCACCCAACCTCGCTCGAGAAAAATAACTCACTCTTTTCCTTCTCTTCTTTGCCACGCCGGCGCGCGCTCTCCTGAGGAAGACGATCGAAGCAGATTCCCATGCATGGCGCTCACCCCTCCTCGTCATGATGAAGCCCTCTCTGCTGGCGCTGAGCACCAACTTCGTCCTTCCTCCCCGTACGTCGACCTGGGCTAGGCCACCACCATCCACACCATCAATCAAATCAAATCAAACACCGCCGTGGTTGCTGTCTTCCTTCCTCCTCGCCTCCGGCCGCAAGAGATCGATCCCCTTCACGTCAAAAAGAAAAGAAAGATGACTTTTCTCTTTCCATTTTAATTTGCCATGCTCGCCTCGACGGCGCCGCGAGGCCAGTGAGATCAATGACCGACCGGGGGCGAAGAAATGGTTGTGGTTGTGGTGAAGAGTTGGTGTATCTTCGAGGGAAAGGGGACTCGGGTGGATGGTGAAAGATGGTGGGGATTGTGTCCACACCGGCGGCGTCGACGAGACCCTTGACGCCGGCCTTTGTGTCGTCCAAGGCCTTGAGCACGCGGAGGCGGTCATGGTCGAGGCAGGCCTCTTGGATAATTGGAGCTTGCTCGTACGTGCGGTGTGTGTGCGTGCGCAAGTGAGTGGAGTAGACGTGCTGCTCTACTGACCGGGATTGCAACAAGTAGTAAATCACACTTCAATTCCGATCGATGCAAAGACAATCCCTGAAACTTATACAGTTGCTCACGTAATGGATCCTTCCATCAGGCACTCGAGTACGTCGTTTGCCGGATATTCGACAAGGGCTTTGCCGAGTGCAATATGGGGGGTGCTCGGCAACATGAAGGTACCCGACGAGCCTTTTCTTCAAATACACGTCTCAGCTACAGACGGAGATAATATGTATACGGAGAACAATTGAGGGAGGCACTTCTGAAATTCGGTGTCGGATCAAAGTACAACATGAAGGACACAGCTGGTGTGGGAGTGGAGCCGAGGCAGATTTATTCGTCCGAATGCCGCTTCCACCACCCCAATGGCACACCACAACCTACAAAACCAAACCCTAACTATAAAGCGGAGGAACGGGTCCTCCTCCCTCCTACCGCTGGAGCAACAGTCAAAGGAAGAGGGGACCAGCCCTGGCCGGTATAGATCGAAGGTAGAGGATCGCTTCCTTAGTCGCCTTCACGTGGCGCCGGCTAGGTTAGGGAAAAAACACCTCATCTTACACATGCATGCATTGACGGACGGACACCTTCTGTTTCCAATATTCATTCACATACCCCTGAAAAAATGAATATCCATTCACATGTGCATGCATGCATGCATGTGCAGCCTACTCGACGTCCACTGCCCGCTGACACCTTGATCAACTTCAACCACTTACATTCGTCCGTCTGCCAGCGCCGCCATCTCCGAGAGACCCCACATGCCTACTGCGTCGACTGGCTACAAGTAGGTGTGGTGACCATGTCCACACATATTTTGATTGTGTCTTAGTAGTATAGTCACTGGACAGATCAAACTCGGGATAGACTATATTGTTTGGCGATAACCGTCAAT